TAACGAGTTTATAATAAATTTCAATCAGGAAATTTAATTTGCAAATAGTTCAGACGTCGCTTCCTTTAATTGAGATAAAGTCGAAGATTCATCTTACACTCGATACAATTTTATGCAGGAGATGGAAAATGTTTCAAATAATCTTAACGAAAGTTATAAATGCGAAAATTGCTTGTTTGTTTGTCATTGCTTTCATGTATGAGCGGTTTAACCAAACATCTTGAAGGATATATGTATACTTAGCGGTTGCATTAGAAAGGGATATTGATTACTTTTAACCTAGTCCCGTGAAGGAAATTGTAGGGGCTAGTCTATATTAATATGTATTAGTCTATGTTAAAATACTAACATAAACTAATACAATTCCTTACTTAATATTACAAATTGGAGAAACTGTCTGTCTACTTGTTTCCTTCTTATTACTAAATAAGTGAACAGCTGGATGGTAGGGATAGTAATAAAAATATTACCTACCCGCATAAGAAGCCGAAGGAATAAATGATTTTGAGTTCAAGTTTGAATGTAGAACGGACCTTAATGTAATTTGATACTGAAATATTGCATCAAAAGTTATAGATAGTTATAGACATAGACTATCTTCTATTTAAGAAAAACCTGGGACACGGCTGTGGATTTACTATAGAAAGAAAAAAAGTTGTAATACAAAACGTAAAAAGTACTTATTATATTTAAAAAATGTAAGCGCAAGGATATATATGTAGTTATAGTTGGCTACATTATCAGTAATTACCATAGACCTTATTTTACGTGGACAACACCACGATTTATTAGCGTGTAATAAAAACTGAAGCGAATACATATCAAGTTTGTTTTATAATACTTCCATTTGGAATAAGAAATTAAGTGATCGCGAAGTTTAATTAAGTAGTATGCATATAATTGATTGAAGAGAATTAAGTTGTCTTTCCGAACTTGTGGCAAATAAACCACTCTCACTCGGAAGTTGATTTCCGGATAATGTCGAAACAATTGTTAAAAGAGGACTTTATGGACAACATAAGTAGTTATTATATTTTCATAAATTCTACCAGATAGGAAAGTGCCCCTAACTGCCAATAGTTCTTTAAAACTAATTACCTAATATCCGTGGATAATTAACTCAGCGCCATCTAGTCCTACGGTAAGCAGAGCCTGTATTATGGGTACTAAACAACTGATATACACACATAGATATATATTTTTAGTCAATACATATACTTAATTGTAGTCATGAATATAAATGATTGCACCGTGTGAGGAAATGAACTCGCGACCATCGGAAGTAAAGCGGTGTGCTACACCACTAGGTGACCGACGCCGTTAATATCGTGTTCATTATTATTGCAAGTAGAAGATTAAACCTAACGTAATTTCGTTTAATTCTTGCATTCACTTTCTCCTTTCTTATACGTACTTACCTACTCTAGGTTGAAGGACATGTTCGTCTATATAAAATATAGTACTATATGATGAAGAATTGAACTTCAAAGATTAGGTAATATTTTAGTTAACTACGATCACTGAGCACAATAGCTATTTAATATTATAAATTCGAAAAAAACTTAATATTTTTTCTTCTACTCTACGCTTTAGCTTTTACAATTACCATATTTGGGATATACATAATATTTAAAATGCAGAATATAGTATACTTTTATTTTAATCCATCATGGTTACATGGACATAGTCATAGGTCTAATCTAGTGTTTTATTAATAACATGGAAAAATTTTAAAGTTTTTCTTTGAATCTGTTTATTGCTGAATTTATAGCAACGTTACTAGTTTTTTTTTTAAATAAATATTTTGGTAAATTGTATGATCTCGTAATTCACCATGCTATGCACGTGGTACTGGTTGATGCTTTTTATACCCTACAATTTTACTTCCATGTTTTAAGACCCCTAACAAAAACACAGTTTATTATAAAGTAACACTGCTTGGTAGCTTAAATAAGCGAGAGACGAGAAGTTCGGACCAAGTTCACTACTACCAAATTTTGACCTGATACCAAATATTATCTTTAAATTTAATCCGTTCCACTGTTCAATTCTTGGTAAGAAAGTAATCTTATTTTCAGTGAGGAATTGTTAGTAATGTGGAATAATGACCCTAATACTAGCAACGTACCATATCAGGTTGACCTCCACGCTGTTCCCCATGGAAACCATCGTGGTAAATTGCCATTTACCAAGATGGGCTAACTAACCTTCTAAAAAAACTTCGTGCTTATTTTATCGTCCTGCACTGGTGCCCCGCCAGCTTAAACCGTTAGCCCAGGATGTACCATTTCGTTATAAACCATTAAAAATTCTTATTTTGATTTATTTAAATATTAATTTACTGTTTCAATGTTTTCTATTATGTCCCCAGATATGTGACGTCTCTGGTATTTCATAACATCAGGTATCCTTGCTCTAAAACCAGTCTACATGTGAGGTCTTTACCCTGATGTCTTTAATTAAACACGTCGACTGGCTCTCCACGTAATTAGCAACACGAAGTAATTGTCACGTAAAGACTTCTATAGATGCTTGTTAAGGTATCGTAATGCAATTGAAAAAATCATTTAGAATCAATCAATAGCTTTTTATGTTATCTTTAGTAACAAACAAGAAATGCAAAGTAATGTATGCATAAAAGATGTAAGGAGTGTAATGTAAGGAGACAACAGACTTATACTTTTTTCATTAAACAACAATGCACATTCACACAAAATCTTAAAAATATAGAACTGGACAACATGTTTTTAAAAGATCAACAGTCTAATTTCTCTTTACCAAATTAGGTACTTCATATGAGACGAGGCGTAAAGACAGATAAGATAAGATACTAATGATCAAGTAAATTCGAAATATTGTACAAATGTGTAGATGTTGCTATCTCTCATTATTTGACAGTCAGGTGGACAGGATGTAGATTTTTATATCTTGCGGTAAAATGTTCTTATGTCAGTATAGGATTATGTACCCACATATACTATTGACCGAAACTTAGCTTACAAAATAAGCTTTTGATAGCTGAAATATGTAACACAAACGCATACGGCTTTGCACCTAGTCTAATAAAAAATTTAATATCATACGATACATATGCATTTAAGAGAAATTTAGTACACAGAAAGTAATTTTTTATCATTGAGCTAACAAAACCGTGAATACAGATATTTTAATATCTAAATCTTCACCTTTCTTATAGTTTGACATTTGTAAATCTTGATTTTCCACCAACTTGCACACGTAGGTGAGCCCTCGAGGGATGACCACTTAGCCTCTGTAAAGGGCTCTACTTCATCCGGTTTCTCAGTTATCCAGCATCAAGGTGTTGTTTCACTAACAACGGTTAATATTATTTATGTACAAGATCAAGCGACTCGTTTCACTTTCCCTATGTCAACATGTGCATGCCTCTTCAGTTTCTTAGGTCTTAATCTAGATATTCATCTTACCTAGTGTATATCTCAGTCTATTTGTAGATATAATAATTATACAATTATAAATTTTAAATGCACCAAAATGAAATAAATAACTATTGTAATAAATTGTAGGTATTTGTAATAAAAAGTCGCACCATAATCGGTCCATTCTTTTTATTTTTTTCATCTACTGAATGCCACGGAACTCTGGATTGTGTTATATACGCCTATAGTCCTCTTTCCACGAATTGCAGGAGACGCGATAAAAATTTAAAAATATTTCCATTTGAACCAGGCAGAATTTAAAGTAATTTTTAAGTTTTAAATTACCAGCGTCACCAGTGTGGAAACCAGTCAGAGAAACTGGTGATAAATTTAAACAAAGTTCTGTCACATTAATCAATCACGATATATCAATGAACAGTCTAATAAGGGTAGTAGAAAAAACTGCTGGCACCAACCAACATTGACATTTCTATGCTTCAGTCAGCTCGTGACTACGGCGTCGTAGTCGGAACGTGGGGAGAGGTAAATGCTTTTATTTACCATAAAATTATTCGTGTTTATCCGATTATTAATAAGGTAATTTAAGGTAAGGTGGTTCTAAGATTACCAGAATAATAAATTTACAGTTTATATAATTCTTACTACTACTTATTACTTTAATTTCCTAATAATGTTGATCTGTCGATGGTAATCGTGATTAGATTCACTTCATTACTTTAGCTGTTGATTAATTTTTACTAATAAGTAACTAGTGTAACATCTTGATCTTAGTAGTTACTCTAATATTTCTTATTTATCATAATTACATAGTTTAAAACAAAGTCGTTGACGCTATCTGTCCCTATGTATGCTTAAATCTTTAAAACTACGCAATGGATTTTGAAGCGGTTTTTTAATAGATATAGTGATTCAAGAGGAAGGTATATTATAAATATTTAGAATACATGTATACCTGTGCGAAGCCGGGGCGAGTAGCTAGTAGACGCTAAAAGACATTTAATATTCCCAAAATAGAAGATGACAGTCTTTAACGAATCTACCGAAGTACAATATCAGTAGACACACAAATGAAAATTATGGTACTTTCCACAGATTAAATAATAGTTACTTAAACGGTTATTCAAGAATTCGTGAGTTGTATATATTAAAAATTGCATCATAATAGACTATCATTGTAAAAATTAAGCATAATACTAATATATTATCATATATACGATATTAATATGTTAATTATAAATCGTGGTAGTCTCTTTAGTCATTTCAGTAGTAGGTACATTCTTGTTTCATAGAGACCAACTAGACTTTGCTTTATAATATGTATAGATGAATAGCATTACCCATATTATGCTGTTATAGAGAGCTCATGCCATTCTAGAGGGCAAAAGTTCCTTAATACCCTATAATTTCACTAACATATCGTTCAAATTCAATATCAGCATACGAAGCAATCTGCTTGGCAACTGAAATAGATGAGACAGCAATATCCACAAATACGACTTTGTACAAAAACAATAAATAAGATTCTATTATTTAAGTACAGCTCAACCCTATATCGCATCTTCCCTGTGCAGACGATCATAAACGGCGAAAGTGCACGCACCCTGCGTCCGGACGTATAAACGCATGCGTTGCACGCCGCGCGCCACTCGCGAATTGAGCACGAATAGGTGCGCGCGCGCATGCCGCCTTACCGCAACGTGAACTCTGGTGCGCGAAAAAAGTGCATAGTGGTATTAATTTTCAAAATTTGTGACCAATTTCATACTTTCTACGGGTGTGAAGTGCAAGTCCATTTTTGAACGCGGTGAGTTTTTTTAAAATCTTGACTATGACTTGATATATATATATATTTTAATGTTACATATACGTATAATTTATTTTTTTAAATTAAGTAAATAATATTTAATTATTATTGATTTTCGTGGAAAAATTAAGAATTGTCAATAAAGCTGTGTATATTACGTATTTACTATTTTTTTAACATTTAAATTATTTTAATAAAATAATAATAATATAATTAATGTAATGATAAATAAAATATGAAAATGGTTCTTAGAATTTGTAATTTATTGTTTGTATGCGCGAGTAAGATGTATCCATATATTAAAGGAAGTGTTTAAATAGTTTCATTAATATTTTAACAAGTAATAAATATAAAATTATATACACCGTTATAGACATGAGCCTGCATGTGTACATTGTTTAAAATGGATCATAGGAACCAATTACAATTACGAAGCAACATAATAACTCTATAATTTTGCATGTTTTATAGCTCCTAAAGATATGAGGCAAAGAAGTATTAAATTTGCATCAACTTGCATACTAACGTGTGCAGCTCTATCCTCATTTTAACAACAGATATTTCAATCATGCATCAAAAGCAAAGTTCAGCAGCTAAGTCGGGTCTGGATGTGAAATTGTTTATTTTTTCAGTTACAGTTAAAATTTCTTTTTGTCACAAAAGTTTTTCTCCGCAAATCGCGACAATGGTAACCATAATAAAAACTCGTCACCCACTCAGATTTTATGACAAAGCACTAAACTCGAGAAAAGGTAACGGGTCGTCAAAAAAAGCAACCTCATCTTTTGACTAATCGGACACCAAACTAGCGGACGGACGTGTCAATTATAGTAATAATATTACAACCGATTATCTTTGCTATTTTAATGAAAATATGATTTCGAATCAATTACTCTACATTCGCGGACGATACCGTTTTGACGGTAATCGATTAAGAGAATCATTTTACGCACGTTTCCGTGAAAGTGCCAGACAATTGGGTGCGAACTTAGAATGTAGAAAGTGATTATTCGGAGTACCGTGTTATGCATAAAACTAAGAGTTTAAACAGAGGCATGAACTCGAGTACCAGACATCGTCTAGATTTGCAGACTTGGCACCTGTGTTTACAACTCTGTACATACATACACTTAAGCTTAATATTTATGTATACTATAATTTTATAATCGAGAAAAAATAATTTATGGCACACTATTTATGGACTGAACCATAATTTAATCTTAGAATCGAATAAAAAAACTAAAAAGAAAAAAAAATTTATAACAAATATAATTCTAACAAAAATATTTAAATTCAACGAAAACAAATTTTACAGATATACCAGAATATATCCACTCAGCTTTATGGCCTATTATTCTATGCGAACATGCTGCTATTCTTCAGTGGCACCAGGTAGATAAGAGAGCCACTAAATAAAATATTAAATAATATTTATTCAGACTTAATTATTATAAAAAGAGAATAAAAAATATGGCATTGTACATATAATCTATATCTTTGAAATAAACCTTTGTACAAGTCATAATAAAGCATAAATAAATAAGTATCTATGTGAATAAATAAGTATCTACGTGAGACTATTTTAATTTAATCATATTTGGATTCTATCCAAAGTTACGCGTATAAAAAATCGTAATTTCATGATCGCTATAAGTGGATTTGTCTTACATATTCGTATTGGCACAGATTGTAATTATTGTAATCATATGTGATAGAGTCAATAGCTTCATTACGTGCCATGTGGACTTGAGGCAATATAGATGTACTATACATATTCTGAGCTAGGATTAATAGAATAATCTTGAGAAGATTATAGTACTAATCCTAGTTCAGAATAATATATATTCGTTAATTCTTATTCGCTTATTGGGCCTATTACTTTTGTAAATAATTAGATATAGATACCTAAAAAGTTAGTAGGTACTTTCTTTTTTTTTAAATTATATTTATTTAGTTTTTTAATTTGTTTAGAAAAAAATAATATACCTACATATATTTAATGAATGTACATACAATGCGCCGAAAATAAAAATAGAGCAAATATATATAATGCGCAGAACTGCCAATGCAATGCGTGTTCTAACGAGACTAGTGTTTTTTTAATAAGTATAGCCGTGTTCGTGTTGTGACGCCACTTAACGGATATTAGTGAACGTTTTGTTAATATTTGCCTGTCAAACCATTGACATGTAATGTCATCTATCTCTCACCTTCGGTATGAACTTTCAGCGGATATCCGTAGAACGGTCGGATGATTCATATGCTTAGAAAATTGATGAATGCGTCGCGAAATCTTAGACATTGATGTCAGAATATTTATATTATTAAATATCAGCATAATTTTGTTGTATCTGTCACTCCTTTCCATTAGATATAGTTAACAATAAATTTATGCAAATATTAACAATTTTGTTGTATAATTTTCATCAAGAATGACTAAGCAATCGGTTTTTACAAGTCTCGAAATTTGAGTCAAAGAGAGAAATCAATATACGTATACGATAAAATTTATTATTAAATATTTTGTTTATTAATTAACATATTTGTTAAATATTTTGGTATATTACGTTTTTATTGATGGTGACGGATGATGGTGAATAGTTTATTTGTTATTGTTCAACAACATTTCATAATACAAATAAAAAAAACTATTAAGTAAAAAAAAAAAAAATAACATCAACGCGAGAATAAACTCTGTACATTAAATTAATTAATGTATATATATATATATAATATACAGGTAATGACCAAATTTGAGAAACTTTTTTTATTAAATAAAAAATAACATACATTAATAACGAAAAAAATACTTACATAATCTTAAACAGAGGTATTGCAATTACGTAGTATAAGTAAGTACGTGTGTACGTGTATATCTATGACTATATTAAATTATATACCATGCTCCTAATTAATTGAAACATTCCAAAATAAAGGAAAATCATGGTAAATATTTGTATCTACTCTGTATCTTGATGCTGTCCATTGCTGACAACTTGGTGACTGTTTAACAACTTGATAACTTAGTGACAGTCGTTTATAAGGTGAGAGTCTACATTCATGTATATACACTCATTAATAGTATATGAATTTATTGAAGAATGTAAATACTTATATATATATACACTAGCTTTTCTACACTACGTACTACTACTACTACTACTATACGTACTTATACACTAGCTTTTCCCGCGACTTCGTCCGCATGGAATATAACTTTATTTTTCTAAAATAAAAGTAGCCCATGTTATTCCTTATTACAATAGCTGCCTGCCAATAAAAGTCCCGTCAAAATCGGTCCATCCATTTCAGAGATTAGCCGGAACAAACAAAAAACAGATAAAAATTGTAAAAAAAATATTATAGTGTATGTATCGTATTTATATTCATATGCATGTAGTAAAAACTGTTATTTCAATATTACAAACAGACACTCCAATTTTATTTATATGTAGGTATAGATTACAACTTTAGTCAAAGGCATTGACGTGCCTACATTTTGGTAACATCATTAGAATTTGACTTGACAGGGAACGATTGTTTTTAGTGTTATTAATATCGAAATACGCAAGAAGGATTCAAACCTGAGTACCATTTAGGCTGTGTTACACCGCTCGAACATGCGAGGCCGTCTGATAATAGTCGTAGTATGTTGAGTATGATGGTTGTCTGTGATACTGTTCATATCCATAGGCGATGATTACCACTTTGCATCAAGTGGGCCGTCAGTGTGTTTACCATTAAAGTTATATAAAAAAAACTATCAACATTTCCAGAGAAGCGTTGATGCCTGAAAGCAGGCAATTCATGACAGGTCTATTATTTGCTACACCCACAGAGGTAATTATTATATAGACCTTTTTTTTAGTAAAGTCAGCATCTATCATATGAGCGTACGAATTAATAAATGTTCAGATATCTTCATAAACGTCCAACTCTGGCGCCGATAATTGTATGGAATTAGTGATGTGAGATTGATATTACGGATGGGTAAATTGTATCGCTTTATGTCAGCGGCCACTATGATTTAACTCGCCACACTTATTACATGAAACGTTTATAAATCTTTCACGTTCCGCAAAATTGAGGGAGCGTACTTACTGTATTAATTTTGGCTTTGTCTATATATGTAAATTTATACGAGACCAATATTTTTTTGGAAATATATGGTGATTTCAATAATAAATTGCATTAAAAATAATAGTTTGATAATTATATAATTTGATTATAATTAGATAAATAATTAGATAATTTGATAATGTAATAAATAAATTGCATTTAAGTTATATAACAACTTAAATGATATGAAATTAAATATAGTGATTGGTATTGTTATTTATATTACATACATAGCTCTTACTTTTAGTTTTTACAGACATGAAAATATGTATATTATTCTTCATATAATTGAGTAAAATTGTTCTTCGTCTTATTTAATATGCACTTGCTAGAATGCTCGTGGTCATTATGTAGTGGAGTGAGAGACAGATATCATCCGCCTTACGACAGCTCGCCATTTCTCCCTACTGGCTGCCATTCTGGTATACTCGTGGAGTGGACTAGAATGAAAATTGTTACATATTTTAAATTTATATTAATTATTGTAAAAATATTAAAATTATGTCAAGTTTATATTGTCAATATATTTATGTATTATAATAATTATATTCCAGTATCATTAAAGTAATCACTTATTATATAATCCACAGAAGGTACATATATAGAGTTGTATAATATAGTCCTATGTGTATGATAGTGTAATGAGCCATTAACATACTCGTAATAGTGGTGTAGTTACAAATCCCAGCTAAACATGATGGCCTTTCGTTTTCATATTGCTATCAACTTGTGGAGGTTTATTACTGAGTTTTATTTCATTTTAAAGAGGGAATAAGTCCTGAACAAGCATAAACTGGAACGCACTTGTCATGAAAGCATCCATTAGACACGTGTGCAAATCATTATTTTACGATAGTAAATAATTGTCCCAGAAAATATGC